GTTTGTTTGTTTTAGCAACAGAAACTGTTGCCCAGGCTGGAGCACAATGGTACATAACCTTGTCCCAAGCTGGTCTTAAACTCCAGGCTGGGCTCAAGCTGTCCTCCCAAAGTGCTGGGATTATAGGCACACGCCATTGTGCCTGGCTGGGGTTTTCTTACATAACCTTTTCATCATTCTCTGAACAAGCTGCATTTCTTGGAGCAGGTACTGGCTGGGTCCCAGGTTTGTCTCACTGCTGTCAGCTTGATGGACGTCTCCGTGGGCTCTCAGAGCCTCGGGTCCCTTTCTCTCTGCCTTCCAGAATGTTGCCTTCATTTTGGAAGGCAATCCTTTCAAAGATGCGTCCTCTCTTCTTCCCAGGAACTCCCCACTCCTCTTCTCGCTGCTCCCTTTAAACTCTCAGCTGTGCTGGAGCAGGCCCCAAGTGCTTGCTCTGGCTGCCAGGTCACACTCCCCACCTCTGCACTCCCTCTGCTCAGGTGACACTGCAGGTCTCCAGTACTTTCCTCTGTTTGTTGGACTTTTAGTGAATGTGTCTGTTTGTCCCACAGTTTCAATGAAGATGTACTTTGTGTACATTTTTTGCTCTGGAAGTGAGCAGCCGCCATCTGCTACCAGAATCCTATGTATAGATTTGTTTGACTGTGAATAACATTCTCTTAGTCTTTTCTTTGAACACTGCTTTTAGGATCTTTCCAAACTGTCAGATGTGCATCTATCTAGTTCTTCCTCTTCCTGTATCTCCTCCACCCCAACAACTACAAACACTAAGGGCTCCTCCTTCGCCCTGGTGTGCAAGGCCTGTGGGAGCCTGTCCTTGTTGTTACTATGAAACCTAGTCTTAACTTACACATTTAAGCCACTTACATATATTGTGATTACTGACATTTTGATTTTTTTCATCTGTGCTTTCTAATTACTATTCTTTCTCCTGCCCCCATCCTCTCCTCCCTTATCTTTTATTGAACTGACTTTTCTTCATTCCCCTTTTTACCCTTTAATAGTGTGGAAGTTACACCTTCCACTTCTATTCATTTAGCAATTTCCCATGTAGATGTCACATGTATACGTGACAAAAGTCTAAAGTTAATAAATCTCTTCCCTCCACCCTCACACAACAAGCAGCTCACCCTGGCTTCACCACAATCCTGATGCTCCCTGTGACCATCAGTATTCAATGCCTCCTCCTTGCCATCTTCCTTCTTCCTGCCAAGCAGTCATCATCATCCACCATAACTTGACACAACCTGACTTATTTAGACATATTCACATACCCACAAACTTGTCTGCTCACTGTTACTTATTGGATCTCACATTTAACTTCTGACATTCAGTGTTCTTCTTCCTAAAATAGCTCATTATTTCTTTCAACTAAATTATATTGATAGTCAGCTGTCTTCATCTTTGTCTGAAGTCACAGATAAGCAGGGCAATGAATGCAAGGCCTAGGGTTATTCTCCCTGGTGTGTAATTCTTTCAATATGCTGCCAATTTGGTTTGCTAGTCTAGATGCTCCACTTGAACCTGGCCCAATTTCTCTCCCAGATAGTATCAAAGAACTGAAATTTTCTGATAATGAGACACCAGACCGACCACCTGCTGCCTGCTAACCAACTCTTGTTCCTTATCCCTCCCTAATTCCTGTTTTCCCACACATGGTTACAATGAAATGTCAGACCTCTCATCCAACCACCTGCTGCCTGTTGACCAACTCCTACATAACCACTTTAGTTAGCTGGGAAGATGGATTTGAGACCAATCTCCTGTCTGATGTCACCCACATTAAACCTTTCTTCTCTGGCAATATTGGTTGTCTTAGTGACTGGCTTTCTCTGCAGCAAGCAAGCAAGCAGACCTAGGCTGAAACCTTGGTGTCTGGCAACACTCTTATAATGGGGCTATGTCCCAATAAACCTACTCCTACTGTTAAGTTGGAAATATCTTTTTTTTTTTTTTTTTTTTTTTTTGAGATGGAGTTTTGCTCTTGTTACTCAGGCTGGAGTGCAATGGGATCTCGGCTCACCGCAACCTCCGCCTCCTGGGTTCAGGCAATTCTCCTGCCTCAGCCTCCTGAGTAGCTGGGATTACAGGCACGCGCCACCATGCCCAGCTGATTTTTTTGTATTTTTAGTAGAGACGGGGTTTCACCATGTTGACCGGGTTGGTCTCGATCTCTCGACCTCGTGATCCACCTGCCTCAGGCCTCCCAAAGTGCTGGGATTACAGGCTTGAGCCACCGCGCCCGGCCTCAGGCTGTTTCTCTTTAGGTTTTCTGTCTCTTCACTGATATTGTCATTTTGTTCATACATGATTTTCTTGACTTTCTGCAGGTTTTAACCTTTAGTTTTCTGAGCATCTTTAAGACAGATGTTTTAGAGTCTCTGTCTAGTAGACAGACCTGCCATCTGGCCTTTCTTTTAGGGACAGTCTCTGTTGATTTTGTTTTCCCTTTAAACGGGCCATATATTCCTGTCTCTTCGTAGGCCTTCTGTTCTTTGTTTTTGTTTTTTTGCTGAATACTGGACATGTAAGTCTAACAACGTGGTAACTCTAGAAATTAGATTCTTCTTCCCCTTATGCTGGGTTTGCTGTTTTTGTTATTTTTATTTATTGTTTTTGTTTTCTTTTGATTGTTGCAGGCTGTTTCTGTGCAGAGGATCAACTCAAAGATGTAAATTAAAGGTCTTTCCAGATCTTTCTCGAGCCTGTGCCTTTCCTCGTGCATGCACAGTCACTTTCCAATTTTCTAAATTCTCTGATTTTCCCTGTAGTTGTTTTCGAATGTCCCAGTCTTCTAATGTCTGGTTCCCAAAAAGGGAAAAACAGAAAAATGAAAGCAGAGAGCAACTGGTGCTGGCCCTTTAAATTCTCTTGAAGCTACGTCAGCTGGAAGGGGAGGGCTTGTAGCAACTGAGGGAGGTGCAGTATCAATGGCAGCCTACCTCTTTGTCTGCACCTCTGTGATCAGAAGCAGCAAGCAGGGATCCTGAGCACAGACACCCGATATTTAGAGAACAGGGTACTTCTTGCTCACCCTGAGCCCCTCAAGCTGTGTGCAAGGTGCTCCAAGAACATGTACAAGACTGTCTGTGGGACATGGGTAGCCACTACTGTGCCAAAAGCTGAAACTAACCAAAATTAACCCCGATTTGCCATCCAAGTCTCCCCCTGGAAGTTGCAAGCCTTCAGTAGACTCCATAGTTCCAAAATGGTTACATCAGACAGATCCTTCTGGTGCAACTGTGGTCTGAGTGGGGAGATAGCTTCCTGCTCTGCCATTACCCCAGGATCCTCCCAGTGACTCTACCTTAACCTCCACTCTTGTTTGCTCCTATTTGTCCAATTTACCCTCAATATCCTATTGCCTTCAATACCCTAAATTTACCCTCAAATTTAGATGCCTTTTCTTGCGGCGTCTAAAGCTTTTTTCATGGCTTTAACCATTCCTTGTTACTTCAGGTTCTCACTAAAAGCAAAGCCTTCCATTAGAACAGTCTGCTCATGAGGATCACATTCTGTTGTGCTTTGTAAACATTTAAGTAGGGCTCCTTTCTAAATTTTTGTTTTGTTTAGAGACTGGGTTCTCATTCTGTCCCCCAGGCTGGAGTATAGTGACATGATCATAATTCACTGCAGTCTTGAACTCCTGGGCTCAAGCAATCCTCCCACCTTCACTCTCCCTAATAGCTGGAACCATAGGTACAGCTAATTTTTTTCCCTTTTTTGTAGAGAAGAGGGTCTACGTTACCCAGGCTGGTCTGAAACTCTTGCCCAGCCTCCCAAAGTGCTGGGATTACAGGTATGAGCCACCACGCACAGCTCCTCACCCGAGTCCGGCTATGATCAAGAAGCACACACCTCCTCTGGGGACTTCTTTAGTCTCTTTTAAACCAGGAACTTTTGTCCTTCATGACACCGACTTCCTTGAAAGTTCTAAGCCCCATGACCTGCAGTTTGACACACAGCCCAGTGATCACTCGGAGCAGGCTCCACTGGCCACAGCTGCCCAGCTACTGCAGGGGTAGGAGATATAGCTTCGCCAAGGACCACCTGACAAGGTCCCTGGAGCCATTCTTATTTCCATAGCAGCCCTTTCTCTCTAGGTCTCATCACATCTCCTGTCTTCCATGAATCGTTCAAAAATTTATATCTGTGATCATTTTCCATCTGGTTTTTAAGGGCTATTATTAATTAATCTACTCTTAAAAATAGCCATGCTTTTCTGCTAGATGATGAGCTTAAGGTCAACAAAAGGCAGAAACATGTATTCTATCTGCCTTTCAAAGACCACTCAGGCACTAAGGAGTCCACACTTCCCCAGCTGAAGTCATCCAGAAGCCGTGTGAGGGAGGGGATGATATGCACCCTCACAGGGCTGTAGCCACTGAAGGAGCCGCCCTGGAAGGGCCCGGCAGCGCTGTCGCGGTCAGGCATCAGGCCAAGAGCTCCAGATGTGCTGTCTTTTATCCATGCCCACTTTTACCGAAATGAGCCCATCCTCCTTTTCCTGAGAACACTGAACCTACCACCTAGCACCTAGGTTCCAAAATCCCTAGAAATATGGGCTTCAGACAAGCAACAAACAACCAAAAATGATTCTGCTACACAAAAGATGCTGAGACCTTACCTAAAAAGCACTGAAAATTAAAAATGCAATAATTTTTTTAAAAAAACAAAAGATGCTGAGACTTCCTCATCTGTGCCCTCTCTTCTTCCCTGCCCTAGACTAAGGCTGCTAGGAACATTCTGCACGTACACCTGGGCAGGCAGGGCCCCAGGGTGCCGGGTGCTGAGAGGTGGTTAGCTCTAGCCCTCTGGCACAGCTGAAAGATACCCTGCACTTCAGAAGAAAATGGGCAGATGTTTGCAAATAAACAACTAAGGAGACAAATGCTGGCGCTGCCACAGGGCAAAGTGGCAAAATTCTACAAGTGACCATCAGGGCTCCAGGCGCAGGACACTGCAGAAGCTCACAATGGAGTGCCCCTCTGCATTACCTTGTCTATAGTGAGCATGTAGAAGTGGGTGATGTCGTTCTCATGCGCATGCTTGATTCTGGCCATGCACTCCTCCTCGTCAATCACCTCCCCGACGTACTCGTTAACAAATTCTCCCTGGAAATCACAAGAATGTGGCCATGACAAAGAGCATGCTGACCAGCCCTCAGTGTCAGGGCTCAAGACTCCCTATCACGATCACTTAGAACAGGCACAGCACACATGGCATACCTCTGCAGAGGGCTCCTACAAAGTCTTCATAAACTAAATTCAAAGGATCTCAGACATATGTGCATCTAAAGGTTGCCAATGAGAAATGTGTTAAGCGTTGATGAAGTGGCAACATATCAACCCTTGCTTCCTTCATTAACCTTGTCTCAGGAACGCTGTCTGATAAGCAAGCTTCTACATAACTCACTTTACACAGTGATCCCCACAATAGAGAAAATAGCTACAAAGAATCTGACGGGCTATACAGCTAGAGTCTGGGTGAATCAGCAGTCAGGGAGGTGAGGAACAGGGTGCTGGGGAGGTGTTTTCAAGCAATCTTTTATGCTGCTGCTGGAACTGGCACCAGGCTGGAACTCTCTGTGCTGGGTCAGCCCTGATATGGACCTGTGGTCTGAGACTACCCACCCACTAGGCCATACCAAAATACATCAGGGTCAGCAATTCCACATGTCTCTCAGGCCCTGGATGCCCTTGGGATGCAGTCTGGGAGCAGAGGCAGGAGGTCAGCAGTCCTGGTGCCTACCAATGACTTGGTCCTAGACTGTGCTAGGACCACCCCTCACAAGAGGAATCCCCTTAACACCTCCCTGGTGAGCGCTCCCAAGCACCTGGCTGCTAGCCCAAAGGAAAGTGGGTCACTTCACAAATCTTCCACTTCATAAAAATAACCATCAGAATTCTGACATAACATGTGCTTTATGGGAACATATGAGTTTTAGCAATATCTTTCATGTAACATTTTAAAATATTCAATTGTAATAATTTAATTCAAAAGAAATTTTCAGGTCAGGCACAGAGGCTCTTGCCTGTAATCCCAGTGCTTTGGGAGGACTAGGCAGGAGGATGGCTTGAGGCCAGGAGTTCAAAATCAGCCTGGGCAACACAGCAAGACCCCATCTCCAAAAAAATAAAATAAAATTATTAGGGCATGGTAGTGTATGCCTGTAGTCCCAGCTGCTTGGGAAGCTGAAGTGGAAGGACAACTTGAGCCCAGGACTCTGAGGCTGCAGTGAACTACAGTCATGCAACTGCCCTCCGGCCTAGACGACAGAGTGAGATCCTGTCTCAAAACAACAACAAAAGTAATTTTTTCCCAAAAAATACCATTTTCACATAAATACAAAACCACCACAAGCAAATCTAAGTCTAATTACCCAGTGAACCATAATTTCTCAAAAGCAGGGGAGGGGATAAGGACGCACACCTTTCTGATGTCCCTCTTGGCGACCAGGCCCCACCCTTTGCCATCTGTCTTGATGATCTTGGTCTCTGGGTACTGGCGCTTGGTGAAGCACTGGTTCTGACAGAACTCGCCTGCAGGACACACCTGCGGGTGGCACTCAAACATGAGCATCCTGTTCAAACACTCCGAGTCAAAGCCACAGGGATTCTCATCTGTGGGCTTGCAGTTACACTTCGGGATTTCAGAAATATCCGCTGTGTAGATCTGGACTTTCCCATAAGGCTTATTCACCTGCAAGGAAGGAGGAAGCTGTCTTGGCCCACAAGTCAATGAAGAGCCTTCTGGATAACCCAGCACACCCACCACGGCCTCTCCTTACCCAGCCTCCGGGTGGCCTTTCAGAAAGCTTCAGAGGCCTGGCTGTGAGACCCTCATCAAAACATCCCCTCCCCAGATCCCAGAGGAGCTCTCCTCTGCTTCTTAGCACAGGAGGCAGGCAGGTCAACCTGTGACGCCCTCTCACGTTATTTTATCTTAGTGTCTGTGCTCCTTGTTGATGAACAAGAGCTGACACGTATCCAGCCAGGCCATTGGAAGATGAAGAGAGAAAACGCATGCTGACTGCTAAGTACACTGCAGGGTGTCCAGCACACGCTAGGTAAGAGCTCTCCTGAGCAGCTTCCTGACCCATCTCTCTGACCCTCCCTTTACTGAGCACCAGCATCGAGCCATGCAGGAGGCCACCCAGGGGGAGCAGTGCTGGGCAGGAGGGCACAGCCTCTACTCTCATGACCCTGTGATTTATTTTTAATCAAAGACAAGCAACCAAATAATAAAGCAGCAGAGACAGCTAAAAAACAGCTGGGGTAGAAATGGATCATGTTAGGGAAGAGGTATTTTACGTAAAAGACACAGTTTCACTGCTGTGGTGTGACAAACTGTACAACACTTTGGAGAACAATCTGAGAATATTCCCCAAGAATCTAAACATTTCATGCCCTCTGACCTTGGGATTCTGTTTCTGGGAATCCATCCCAAAGAAAATCTTACATAAAGATGAATAGAGAATGCTTTTTTTTACACACAAAGATAATGACTTGGCAATATCAATATTACAGGAAAATATAAAGATATTTTCTTTATACACCAAGATATTGACTTGCACATTTTACATGCAAAGGCGGAGGACCTGACCTCACTATGAGGTGGCCGTGCACTCATCACACGTGCTCATTAGGAATGGCCACAAGACTCCTGGGGATGGGACCCAAGCGCACCAGCTCTGAAAACAGGCAGCCCTGAGGGGTCTGCGGCTCCCACAGAGCCCTGCCTTGGCTGCACTTCTTCCCACTCTGCTGCTGGGGCTCCCCGGCTCACCAGAATGAACACGGAACTGGCAAGCTCCCGGCTAACCTGCCTCAGTCTCCGAGATAGAAGATCTGTGTGGTTGGAACTCCAGCGACTGAGCCAGGCTGAGGCCAAGCCGTGGTCCCAAGTGACCGACTCCCATATAGCCCATCTCCAGCACTTGGCAACAGCCTGGTGCACGTGGGAAGCTCATTCCTCAGCTCCTCCTGCTCCAAGCAGCCTGGTCAGGACTATCATCCAACCCTTCTCTAGCGACCAAGCCAAGCCTCACGCTCCAAGGCAGAACCAAGAACCCCCATGCAGATCCCCCCATGCTATTTGCCTATGGTCTCTTGTGTGGCTGTGCACACCAGGCACCACAGATCCTGGCTGGTGACAGCCCTCTCCCCAGCTGTAGCCTGAGTGTGCCTGAGAACCGCTCACAACTCCTGAGGGAAGACTCCCTCCACACACTCGTGCACACACAGCTCCGACACACCACCTTGATATGCTTGTATGGTGGGGGCTTGCGCTCACTCTCCTGTGTTTCTCGGGCTTCCCTCTGAAGCTTAATTTCACGAAAACGAGCTTCAGCTTCTTGCAGTGCTAAAAAGTCAATGAAACAGGAGTAAAGATTTTAGTAAATAAAGGTATCTACTACTTTTCAAGCTCCATATTTTTGTTTTTTGTTTTTTGTTTTTGTTTTTGTTTTTGAGACGGAGTTTCACTCTTGTTACCCAGGCTGGAGTGCAATGGCGCGATCTCGGCTCACCGCAACCTCCGCCTCCTGGGTTCAGGCAATTCTCCTGCCTCAGCTTCCTGAGTAGCTGGGATTACAGGCACGCGCCACCATGCCCAGCTGATTTTTTGTATTTTTAGTAGACACGGGGTTTCACCATGTTGACCAGGATGGTCTCGATCTCTTGACTTTGTGATCCATCCGCCTCGGCCTCCCAAAGTGCTGGGATTACAGGCTTGAGCCACCGCGCCCGGCCCCATATTTTTATAGTTCACTCTAAACTTTCAATGTAAATATAGTTTCTGGTTTGCACAAAACAAGAGTCTATGAAAAACTGTCAGTGGGCAGGTATTTTTAAATGCAGCCAAGTGTGTGAGAGAGAGTGCTCAGAAAACAACCATCACACCTCTCTATAAAGCAGGCCCATGGTGGAGTTCTGCTGGGAGCTCCCTGTCCTCCGCTGTGGCCTAAGGACAAAGCACCAGGGTCAAAGCCTAGGATTCGCTGTTCTCAGATAGAAAATGAAAATGCAACTGAGGCCAGGCCCAGTGGCTCATGCCTGTAATCCCAGCACTCTGGGAAGCCAAGGAGGGCAGATCACCTGAGGTCAGGAGTTCAAGACCAGCCAGGCCAAGATGGTAAAACCCTGTCTCTACTAAAAATTACAAAAAAAAAAAAAAAAAGAAAAAAAATTAGACGCAGTGGCACATGCCAGTAATCCTAGCTACTCAGGAGGCTGAGACAGGAGAATTACTCAAACCCTGGAGGTGGAGATTGCAGTGAGCCGAGATTATGCCACTGTACTCCAGGCTGGATGACAGAGCAAGACTCTGTCTCAAAAAAAAAAAAAAAAAAAAAGAGCCGGGCAAAATGGTAGATACCTGTAATTCTAGCTAGTTGGGAGGCTGAGACAGGAGAATTGCTTGAACCCAGGAGATAGAGGTTGCAGTGAGCCAAGATAGCACCATTGCACTCCAGCCTGGGCGACAGAGCGAGACTCCATCTCCAAAAAAAAAAAAAAAAAAAAAAAATCCAATGGAGCTCCTCGAAGCAAAAGGGGCTCTAAGAGATGAACCACAGGCTCCATCAAGAACAGAGGAAACATAAACACCTACAATCTGTCCCAGGAAGGAGGTCAGCCCCATGTCAATGCTAGGCGTGTCCTGTGGCCTGCCCTGTGCTGGCGGCAGCAGTCACCACAAAGGGGGCTGGCTCTACAGGATGACTGCATCCAGTAAGGAGACTTCACTGACGGTCATACGAGACACATCAGGCCACCTCTCAATTTCATCTCTCATCCTCTTAATAATTTTTGGCCGGGCGCGGTGGCTCAAGCCTGTAATCCCAGCACTTTGGGAGGCCGAGGCGGGTGGATCGCAAGGTCAAGAGATCGAGACCATCCTGGTCAACATGGTGAAACCCCGTCTCTACAAAAATACAAAAAAAATTAGCTGGGCACGGTGGTGCGTGCCTGTAATCCCAGCTACTTAGGAGGCTGAGGCTGAGGCAGGAGAATTGCCTGAGCCCAGTAGGCGGAGGTTGCAGTGAGCCGAGATCACGCCATTGCACTCCAGCCTGGGTAACGAGAGCGAAACTCTGTCTCAAATATAAATAAATAAATAAAATAATAATTTTTGAAAATCTTTCGATGCCTACCCATTCTTTATGATTCCTCTGAGTGCCCGCCGTGCACACCCCCCACTCAGTGCAGCCTGCAAAGCTGTGGGTAACAAGGAGCTAACACAGCTTTAAAAGCACAGGTGCCTGCCTGCAGCCACAGAGGAGCGAGTGCCGACCCGGCTGGGGCGCAGCATGTGCCCTCCCTGAACGAGCCACCTGCGCATACCTCAGGTTTTCCCTACTGGCCTCATTCTCTGTCAACCTGTCATAAACACCAGCTTCTCCAGTGAAGAGTCACATCCCCATCCTGCCTCCCTCAAACCTGAGTCATCAGCCGGCCGAGTCATCAGCCAGCCATACCACAGCCACCGCAGCTGTGGAATGCGAGGCCAAGCACCTTGTCTGCTTGACCACCCGATTCCTCATGTGCTGAAAGGTAAAGAAGCCCCCAAGAGCCCGCTGCACAAGGTCTAGGCAACAGGATCCTTCCTTCAGCTCTGCATTTTACATAAAGGCAAGCCATGGAACATTTCTGTAAATTATTACTAAAAACAATTTGTGAATAATAGGCTTACAGGATTTTAATGAAATTAATCACAAACCTATGTTACAAAAGCTACCCATGTATCTTATTCTATGCTCAGCAAGTAAACCAGACTGCAAACTTTTTCCTAATTTAAAAATACAGACAGAACGTTTAGTCCAGTATTTTCTACAAAGATCAGATTTCAAAAAAACAGAAATTAGGAGTAAGAAAATGTACATGAGAGTGCTGTCTCACTCTGTCTGAAAATCTCCGTACCGTTTTTGAAGACTCTTCCGATCCCTCTGACCCCCTGGTAGCGGCTGCCCCGGTCCCCCTCCATGTACGGGAACACTCGCGCCTGATGCGTCCAGTAATAATCTTTAGACCCAAAGAAAAACACAGGGAATTCTCCAATCTCGTGCTTCATTTTCTGAATATTTGGGGGAACATTTTTGGGATGGCAAACTTCTGCCGGCCACCATCTATTATAAATATTAAAAACAGGATTCACAGACTCTTCAGAGAGAGCGATAATCATTTCAACACTATGTACTGTAAAGCGAACACACGTGAACAGGAAAGACATAACAGCATACAATTCCATGTCTCACACCTGTAGTTCCCCAGTTTCACCCAAATGATATCCTGGAAGTGCAGCTTCTTCCCAGCCCTGCAGTCATTGCAGAACCAGCTGCCATCAGGCATCTCGATGTTCAGGCAGTCAGGGTGGAAGGCCGCCGGGCAAGACTCACAGCACAGAAGGCTCCCCCCTGCAAGAGGAGGGCGAGGTGGCCAGGCTTAGCCCATCTTCTATGGCTCAGCCCAGATGCAGTGCTTTACAATCTACAGCTATTACAGCCTTAACTTTTAAACAGTCATTTAAAAACAGCAATCTGTACATTAATACAAAAGCAAATGTTATTTTCACCGCAAATAATTTCCTGTATATTTGCAAAATGATTACACTTAATTTAGAAATACGGTGATATGCTATGAACGTGAAGACGCAGAGGACACTGTCAACAACAACGAGCGCAGCACACACAAGTATTGAGCCTGCCTTGCTTTGTGGCTCCTGGGAGTGTGAGAGGCGTGCCCACGCCACAGACACTCCCAGGCCCTCACCTTTGGAGCACACGAAGCACCAGCTCACATTAACGTGGGCGTGGTGCCGCTTCCCTTCCGAGCAGTGAAATGGGCCGTGCAGATGATGCTGTTGGAGGCGATCACTGAGCACCCCGCCGCCAGACAAGCATCCCCGCTGTGATAGGCAACAGGGCAGCGGACACACCGCATCATTTTACCTGAAGGCAAAGAAACACACCCTAAGGGCCCCAAACACACTGACCCCAGTCACGGTGAAAACGGCACTACAAATTACTCAGCGTCTATACATTTGAAAAGTTAATGCTAAAATGAATTGGAGGTATTTGATTTAAAAAAATGTTTCAGAACAAAGGTGCTTCAAAACAATGTTTCAGAAAATGGTCACACATCTAAAATGCCATATTCTAAAATAAAGTCAACCAGCGTTTCTCAGCCTGGGCCCTGCAGGCATTTGGGGCATTTGGGCAACTATCCTGGGCACTGTACAGTGTTGAGCAGCATCCCTGGCCTCTACTCACTAGATGCCGGAAGCACATCCCCAAACACTGCCAAACGTCCCCTAGAGGACAAAATTGCCCGATAAACAACCACTGGCGTCAAAAAGTACAGACAACCCGCCACCCTCATCCCACACACCTGACATTAGATAATCAAAATGTAACTTGATTTAAAGATGTTTTCTTTCTTTCTTTTTTGATACAGTCTCACTCTGTCACCAGGCACCAGGCTGGAGTGCAGTGGCGCAATCTCTGCTCACTGCAACCTCCACCTCCTGGGTTCAAGCAATTCTCCTGCCTCAGACTCCCAAGTAGGTGGAACTACAGGCACATGCCACTATACCCAGCTAATTTTTTGTATTTTTTAGTAGAGACAGGGTTTCACCATGTTGGCCTGGATGGTCTCAATCTCTTGACCTGGTGATCCGCCCACCTCTGCTTCCCAAAGTGCTGGGATTACAGGCTACCACGCCCAGCCGTTTTCTTATGTATAAAGAGCCTTTAAAACCAAAGCAAACAGCCTGGGTGTGGTTGCTCACGCCAGTAATCCCAACACTTTGGGAGGCCCAGGTGGGAGGATTCTTTGAACCCAAGAGTTCAAGACCAGCCTGGGTAACACATCAGTGAGACCTCGTCTCTACAAAAAAAATTAACCAAATTAGCTTGGCATCCTGGTCCACACCTGTGGTCTCAGCTACTTGAGAGGCTCAGGCAGGAGGATCACGTGAGCATGGGAGGTCAAGGCTAAAGTGAGCCATGATCACAACACTGCACTCTAGCCTGAGCAACAGAAGGAGATCCTGTCTCAAAAAAAAAAAAAAAAAAGAAAAGAGGTCAGGGCAGTAGCCTAGTAGTTGAAGACCAGTCTGGGCAACACGGTGAAACCTCATCTCTACAAAAAATACAAACATCGGCCAGGTGTGTTGGTATGTGCCTATAGTCCCAGCTACTCAAGAAGCTGAGGTGGGAGGACGCTTGAGCCCGGGAGGTCAGGGATGCAGTGAGCCATGACCACACCACTGCACTCCAACCTGGGTAACAGTGAGACGCCATCTCTATAAAGAAACAAAAGCTAGGACAAACAAAATCTATCAAAATGGTCCAAAGGTTGCCCCTCTCCTAAAATTAAGCATCTTCAGGGTAGTATTTAGGATACAAAGAAGGAAAAGGGGGACAGGTCCCTTGTCAAAGAAAACCCAACCCAGCCCATGTCCAGTTAGCAATGGGAAACAGGGGTCACTCAAGGTAATCCTCTTCGGTGACAATCCCAACAGCCCACCTTCCCAAGCACCCATGGGCCTTCATCTGAACCCACAGCAAGGCTGTGCAGGTGCACCTGTACCTTTCGACGGCCTTGGGTTTGAAGGGTTGGAAGCGTGGCAGCTCACACAGCTGTGGAGAGGGCAGCGGAACCCTCGGCTCTCAAACACAGTCAGAGGGTATTTTTTCACACAAGCCTCGTGATAAAATTTTCCACACTGAGTTACCACACAGCGCTTAACATCGGTCTTGTTCTCTTTACACACGAAACATGAGTGAATCCCTAACGAACAGTTAAAGAAGGGGTGGAGAGAGAGGTGCAAAGAACAAGAATTAAATTGTAGTTCTGAGCCACTAACATCAAGCAACTCCTCTTCAGAGGCAGCCATGTTGCTAAAGCACCTGGCCCTGTTTCCAACCTTGCTCACTAGTCCAAGCATTCTCCAGGAAAAAGATCCAGCCATCAAGGATTACCTTGCTGCGATCTGAACTCCAGCTTCACCTGAAATACAGGAGAATCTTACTAGACAGCCTGGCTGGGGAGGCCCAGTCTAACTGGAAAGAAGCTTGAAGAAAGGGGCTCCTATGAAAAGAGGCCTTTCCTCCTTGAGAGCAGCTGGCCAGTGATGGAGCAATCCCTTGTGATTCTGGGCAGACAAGACACTGCCAGCAGTGAGGTGCTGCTTTGGGACTGCTGTGGCCTGGGAGACTCTCCAGATGTCTTCCTGACCCAGGAAGGTTTCTGACCAAGAGCTGAGAGACTCCTTGGGCCCAGAGCGTAGGCAGGAAGGGCCATGGCTGTGTAGCTGTCCTCTCATCATCCTCAGACAGCAGACTATGCCAGGCAGTTTAACGTGGCAGTTACTGACACAGTAACGTGGAGGTAGAACTGCGGCACTGACAACTCAGGGCAAGCTTGGAGCTGTTCTTTCTGCTGAAACTGAAGCTCAAACTGATGCTGTGTCTTCGTAAAGAACTCCACGTTCCTATGGACCTCAGTGTTCAGTGACCAGCCAGGTTACCTGTACCCTTAATACTGTACTGCCTGGGTGGTGGTGCCCTGTGGTGGCCGCCTCACACACAGGACAGGCTGAAGCCAGCCCATGGGAGGAAGAGCCCACGACCTATCATCCAGCCACCCTGCCCGCCACCTGATGGAAAGGTACCAAGGGGGCACATACGACTGAAATCAGAGCAAACCCTGCATCCGCTGAAAGGTGAGTGCACCTGCCAGGTGTGGGCCAGATGATGGGGATGGGGAGAGAGCTTGTCTTCTGTGGGCGCCTCAGGGAAGGACTGTGTGCAGGGGGTTGCGGGAGCAGGAGGCTGGCCAAGCTGCAGAGCTGCCCACCCATGGGCACTTGCCTGAGGTACACTCGCTGCAGGTGAACCTCCCTTCTGGCCTCCGGGAAAGCCCAAGGCAGGCGAGGTGGAAAGCTCCACAGCAGGGTCCTTCACACAGCAGGAGGCTGCCTGGCTTCTCACACAGCTGCAGGGACAGAGCAGGCGGGTAAGCAGCGCCCAGCAGTCCCTTCCACACCTCTCTTACCACAAGGGAAGCCAACTGCTTCTGTCTCCAGTGGCAGAAAATCCCATTTTGCTACTCAAGGATATACAACCACATGCATGGGCAAATGTCTGGCCTGAACAGAAGGCACAAATGCAGTATCAGATGAAAACCAGATGGCTGTTAACAGAAAGTGGCCAGTCCTCAGCAACAACAAAGGAGACAACAGGATCACAACCCTGAAGGATACATCCAAGATATTTCAAGCCAGATCTGAAAATCAACAGAAACCAAAGGCACCCCAATCTGGATGGCAGGTGCCTCGCTGACTGCAGGCAGCATTCGCACTTCCCATGCATCGACTGCCTGGCATGGAAGCTCCCATGCCACCTCCGGCTGACAGATGGGGCAGGACTGAAGCATAGAGAGTAGGTGGTGTGGTTGGGGTCCTGTGGGCACAACAGGTGTAGTGATGCCCCCTCAGCCCGCAGCCTGGCCTGTCCAGTGTGCGTGTCATTAGTGAAGCTAAAACAGGCCTAGCACTTCACCTTTTCTGATAGGACACTCTCTCTCTCTCTCTCTCTCTCTCTCTCTCTCTGTGTGTGTGTGTGTGTGTGTGTGTGTGTGTGTGTGTGTGTTTGTGTATTACATGATATATATACAAATCTCATCCTACATGTGAATTACGGATGTTAACAGAAGCAACTTAATCCCAGCATTCCACTGGCAGTCAGTCTGACCCCTTCAAAACAGAGATCAGTGAGTGATGATGAGATTGGGGAAGGGATCTGGAGGGAAGACAGAAGACACCACGAACTCGCTCTGCATACCGGGGCCCCAGTAGACACCAGCACGGATGCAGCGGAACGGCCTTCCCCTCACCTGGCACACATATTCCTTTTTGGCTGTCACTCCTCGCTCAGACTTTTTGGATGAGACAGACACTTCAGTTTGCGTTTCGTCGGCACTTTCGTACGGGGACTCTGAGGGCTCGTCTCCTGGGCTGTCCGAGACCTGGAGATGAAGGAGGCGGATGACAGTTCACTAGTCACAGAACACAGTGGGTGGCCACGCCCTGCAGGCTCATCCTGCCAGCCCCACCACCCACCAGTCTTTCTCAGCACTGGTCCTGTTCTGCCAGTGATTTCACAGTGGAACCATCAGCAACCGGTTTTTGTGATAATATAATCCATCAATTACACTGTGTAGAAAATTCAAAAATGGACTTTATTCTACCCAATATTTAGCATATATATGCATATAAAAGGCATATTCCTTAAAATGAAGGAAGTGTTATGACCATCCAATTTGCTCTAGTAGGTGAACTAAGACAGGCTTTGGGAACAAGAATCTTGACCCTTCTTACCGAGTCTGTTCAGGTTCTACTACTCTAAGGTGGAAGAAATATGCTAACACCAAACCAACGTGTGAAGGAACCACGGATGAAGTAAGTGTCAGTGTAAGGCCTCGTCAGGTGACCGTGCTGTCCAGCTGCTGCCGGGGCGGAGACCACGTGTCCTTTCAGAAGTATGTGCCTATTCGGGGGTGCGGAGTCAGGAGAGTCTTCCAGACTCACACCACAGGCTGACCATTCGGTTTCTCTTCTTCCTCCCAGTGCCTATTTCTCCTGAAATTTCACAGTTGACTTGTTCTCCCCACCAGAGAAGTGAGGTGGGCAAAGGCAAGGTAAAATCTGCCTACTTTATTCAGTTCTGAGTCTAAGTAAAAGGCCTAGGATAAAGGCATGGAAGGACTCACAGGTTCTATCTCTTCTGTCTCTGACTGCCCTTCATTTACTAGAAATCACTGGACCAGGCCGAAGCCTCACCCTCATGTACACAGCATTTCACCCTCACCTGACAAGCAACATCAATAAATGTTTCAATGAATAAAATAGAAAATCTTCTTGTCTGTCAAATCAAGTGTTTAAAAAATTTGGTTTTTATTTGATGTTAGGTAAGTGTCGAACACTGAATTTTGGAGATGAAACCGAGCAAAAGCATAAACTACATTTCCTGTACACCTTGATCATCACAAAAACAAGTAATTATGTTATCGATTTGCTGTTTGCCTATGAACACAAAATTAGAAATTGGAATTGGAATTGGGCCATATGGAAAAATAAAAGCCAACCCCGCCAGGGAATCTGGCCAATCCTGTGACCTTATCAATGAGCTTTTCCACATTTAGCTGACATTACAGAGCGTGGTGGAAGAAAAAATTAAAACAAACACAGAAGTGTTTGCTGACCTCAGAGCAGTATTAGAGTGGGCTTTTTTTTTTTTCCAAGACAGAGTCTTGCTCTGTCACCAGGCTGGAGTACAATGGCGTGATCTCAGCTCACTGCAACCTCCACCTCCTGGGTTAAAGCTATTCTCCTGCCTCAGCCTCCTGAGTAGCTGGGATTACAGGCACGCGCCACCATGCCCAGGTAATGCTTTGTATTTTTAGCAGAGACGGGATTTCACCATGCTGGCCAGGCTGGTCTCGAACTCCTGACCTCATGATCCGCCCACCTCGGCCTTCCAAAGTGCTGGGATTACAGGTATTAGCCACTGCACCCAGCCAGAGTGGGCTTTTCCCAAGGGCTTTCATCAGCTCTGACTGGCAACTGTGGGTGGCGACAGTGGGTGGTGACAGGTGAGAGCCACTCTTCTCAAATCACTAGATAGGTCTCCTGACGGTACAAAGTATAAAGAAAATGCAGCCTCTTAACCTTGATTTCCTCACCTTTTCAGGGAAGATGGACTAGCAGCGTGATCACTAATCAGAGCAGTGCATATGTTAAGGCTCTGTCACTGTGAGGCTGCTGGGAGGGCCCTGCGGGGGCCGCAGCTCACATCCTGCTCTTTAAAGGGCTACTTGACGTGCTGAGTTCAAACCCCAAATTTAACATGCCCATCAGATACGGACAGGGTCAGCAGTGGGGGCCTGAGCACCTCTGATGTGAGACTGGAGGGGGCGCCAGGGGAGCACAGGGCATCAGGAAGCAGTAGCCACACTGTCTGGGGCCCCACTTAGAGTCACCCACACAGTCATCCAAGCTGACACATCTGATGGGGGAACCAAGGCCAGAGAAAGAAGCCTTCCCCATGGCTCAGGGGAGAGCGCCCCGGTGCTATCCACCAACCCATGCTCTTCCCTTAACGTGGTGGAACAAAAAGCTTTAAAAATGAGGGGAAAAAACGGATGGAGAGAAAGACAGAAAACACAAACCAGTCCTGGGTCAGAGGGAGGAACAGCACCTTTTATTTAAGATTTACAGAAAAAGTTAGCACGTTTCCACTTGGAGAGATTTCCTAAATTAACAAAGTCTGTTTTGAGGAAATAAACACTGAATACATATTTTGAATGGAAATATATAAATGTTAACGACACACATGAGGCTCATTTCCTGACAGGGTCTGAGACCCACATACAGAATATCGACCTTAACAATAGTACAGTCCATGACACAGATTGCAGAGATTCCGACTTTTTCCCACCACACCGCCTCCCAGCCACTGGACAGACAACTAGCCACAGTCAGGGAGGATCCAACGCTCTCGGCTCAGCAACCACCCGCAAGGAGAGCAAAGTACGAGGGCGTCCCACAGCGAGCCTTACTCCAGCCGCAGGCTCCACCTCCACGCACAGGTGACGTGACTCACTCGGAGAAGCCATTTGTGGAGGTGGCACATTCACCTGTACGGTCCCAACACAGTCCCAAATCTCAGTCTACAACATCTATGATCTATTCCATATCCAACGGGATGCATTTGGAAAGAAAACAGTGCAGGGACTGAGCGGACACAGATTCTGTCAAGAACTTTCCCGTTGCTTCCCGCATCCACCACAGCCACGCTGCGGCACTGAGCTCCGAGCAGCTTAGCTACTGACTTTTCAAAGTTTTCTTGAGTCTGAAAATACTTTCTCCACTCTCTACTCAGAATAAGATAGTACCAAGTTGCCTATTTGCCTTAGAAATACATTCCTTCAGGGCAGGGAATGCAGTCTCCTTGATCTATTACAGGGACTTTTCAAGATATTGCCGAACATAATGGAACCTAGGGAGCACATTCCAGCCAACTGCTAAAAGCACATGGCCCTTCAGGGTGACCTGGATGAGCCACAGTCAGATGCCACCTTCTGTGACTGCAAAGCAGTCCCCTACTCTTCAGAGTGGCGTCATACACATTGAATTTTTAATTTTTTGACAAAACAAATCCCTTCACAACTTGAATACGACATCATTTTTGAAATACAATTACAGACCTTGAACAATAAATTTCTATAAACTGACATAATTTTCATGTTGAAGTGATGCTTTTGTAAAGAAGGAAGTTGATGAGAAGTGCCTCCACAGTGTTTGCATTTACAAATGACAACAGCCCTGTGCTCAGCAGATTTAATGAGTTTGAAATGAAGACTAATCTCAATCAGGTCTTCAAAGTTAACAGAACAGTAAAATGTTAAAGTGGAATTAAAATAGGTTTAAAACAAGTCACTCATCATCTAAAATACTATAGTTCATAATAATTTTTACTAAAATGGCCCTTCTAGGTTACACAGACTAGAACCTTCCTGGCTACCCCTAAACTCTAGGGTCAGGGCTGGGGGTGAGTCGCTAAGAACAGAGGAAGTCTCCATTCACACAGCACTGCTGCACTCCACAGTCGTCTTCTAACCTGCACAGGCTTTTGTGTAGCCACACAGCTCCCAGCAGGTGGCAGGAGGGACTAAATGTCACCTGTGGCCAGAGCGAGACCAGGCAGCTGCTGCTCCCAATTGGAGGCCTGCCCTTGTCAAAGGTAAAAAGAGTCTAAAATATCCTCTCAACCCAACTCTGTCCCACTGTGTCCTAAGCAGCGGTCATCCCACAGGGAGTGTGCTGGAAAGGAGCCTGGTCTGGTCAGCTACAGGCAGCAGGCTGTGTACTGTCTGTGAAGAACTTGAGAACAATGACAAAACTGCCCACAATACACGTGCTTCCACAGGCACAGGGGCTGAGCAAACCCCCTGTCAGCCGGACCAGGACCCCCATCCTACCTCAGGCATTTCTTAAAAATACTATATGCCTAGATGGTTAGCATGCTTCAAAATATTACCAGAGAGTTATATGCAAAAAGGCCAACAACTACAGGTAGGCTAGGAAAAACCGTAAATGTGGACCTAACATGTAACCATGGAGTTCAAAGGCATCTAGCCAACAAGATGAGGCCTGTTGGGCTGCTGGAGAGTCACACTGCTGTGACAATGTCCCAAAAGAAGCAGGCCCCTTGCTCATCCAGTATAGGAATCAGATTAATATAATAGATATTTTTATACCTGCTAATTATAGTCCATTTTACATCACTGCCAGGTAAATTAGTGGTAATTTCTAATGTTCTAGGTAAACCAATAAAAATGGTACCCAAAGGGATCAAAATCAATTTCATTGACCAAGTCTTAAAATATGAGTCAGCATATTTCTTTTAAAATAAGCAAAACCTGCTGGGCACGGTGGCTCACGCCTGTAAAACCAGCACTTTGGAAGCCTGAGGCGGGCAGATCACGAGGTCAAGAGCTCGAGACCAGCCTGGCCAATATGTCAAAACCCCATCTCTACTGAAAATATGAAAATTAGCTAGGGGTGGTGGCAGGCACCTATAGTCCCAGCTACTCAGGAGGCTGAGGCAGGAGAATCGCTTGAACCCAGGAGGTAGAGGTTGCAGTGAGCCGAGCTGAGATCGTGCCACTGTACTTCAGTGTGGGCCACAGAGCGAGACTCTGTCTCAAAATAAATAAATAAATAAATACAATGAAATGAAATAAGCAAGATCCCCAAAATTCTGGAAGTTAACAAGAAGCCAGTAACAGCTTTGAGAGTATTTTGGGAAACCTTTTCTAATGACAGTTACTTCAATTTATCCAGCAAAAGACTATAATTTAGCTTTGTAATCTCAAAGACAAACCACAGGCATTGGCAATTACTCTGTTTACAGATTTTTTACTTACAGATTTTTTAAAACGATGAACCTATTGATTTTAAAAGC